TACTGTGGGAATACTGGCTGGGTAACTGCAATGAACACTTTTTCCCATACTTAACGATATTTCGTGGTGTTGGTATAAATTGGTTTAGTGTTAAATTTTGATAAACTGTGCCACCATCCACCCACAGCACAGATATGAATTCCATATCCCATGGTAATAAAGCAATTTGTCTCGTAGAGAAAAGGGACTGAATTTATAGTTCGTTTTACTACTCTATAAATTTCTCTGTAATCTGTATTTTTCATTCGCTGGGTGGAAGCCATATATGTCGGACGATAACAAGTGAACCATCATGTCTTTCAGCGAGGAATTTCCGTAACGAGGAAAACGACATGGTCTGAAAATCAATGAGCTCCTTTTGAATTTTTTTGTAATCAACTTCTTGATGGATAAACTCGAGATAATTCGTCAAATAATTCATATTTTTAAACAGTATATGAAATAAATTACGACTGATATGTAGGAATTATCTTAAAATGATTATTTACAATAATACAATTTATAAATTAAAATGTGTAAAATATGTACTAACGTCAGAATTACAAAATCTCACTTTTAATGTAATAAATACTTAACCGTGCAAACATTTGTTCCATGAGACATACAATCCAACAAGGAGATAATTTCGGACCGGGTATTCAGCAGCAGGCACACTTTGTCGACGACTCAACTCATGACATCTACCCACTTTCTCCAGTCTCACTTTCTACATCTTGGTTCCATAGCTCTCTTTCATACACAAAATCTGATTCTAATCCCACTTTTGTCTTCTTCAGTCTAAACGATTGGAAAATAATTCCTTGTTTTACTAAGAAAATTGTCCACATTTGGAGCAATGTCTCATGTACTATTGTTCGGTATGAAAGCCTATTGATGTGGAGATAAGGCGATTAAATTTAGGCCTATTGAAAGTGTGGAAACGTGTATGCATTTAGCAAAAGACTATCGAAGAGAAAATACATATTTAGGTGTTTATGCAGTAACAATCTTCAGTCTGGTAGGGAAAACTAATTGCTAAATTATGACTACTCGCCAAGCTAGGTATCTATGTACCACGCTAAATTATGTAAGAATCGTACAGGGACATGAGTATACATAATTTCATACCTTTCGCGTTCGTGGTTTAATTATTGAAGATTTTCGCACTGTAATATCCAGAAGACAGACCGAGTCGTCGACTAATGGATGTAGCCGCAATAAATAGAACTGCCCCTGCTATATTAATTTGTGACTTAAATATAACATAACGGTGAATGCCAAGTTATTATCGCTTCACAAAATCTCTAGACCTAAAAACGAAACGCCAAAAATTCTGTAAGCTGTAGCAAGACTTGTGTAATGCTCTTAAACCAATTTATTTGTATCAGTTTTGGATTGAATATCAATCACCTCAACATTTATTCATTGCAGGTGAAGAAGAAAGAAATATTTGTTATGATTTCTAATGATTTCTCGAATGCGCTCAGATTTTTAATGTACTTTCACTCCTGTGTTGTAGTATTTATAGTTGACTGCACTGCTACCACCAGTCTATTTGCGGGTCAGGTTGGTGAGAGAGAGAGAGAGATCAAGAAAAGTGGCACATTTATGAAACACGAGATCAGTGATTCAAAGTAGAATCCTCCTCGTTGTTTCCCTTTTCCCACAGACAAGCACAATTTTCCCCTCAAGTAACAAAACTCCAGGTTTGTACTCCTGCTCCTCGTAGTTTTCCGTTGGTTGAACTGCTGGTTAGTTAGTGAGAGGCCAATTTCGCATTAGAAATTCGAGTCACAACTCCTAACGGCTCGTGCACTTGTTCTTCTTGCTGTCGGCTGCTTTCCCCTCTCTCTCTTTCTCTGTACATGAAAAGAAAATGCTCAATTTGCCGAAAATTTCACTCTTATTTCATCCATAGTTCTTGGAGATCCAGAAAAAAGCGTATGCTACTCCTGCCGAATGAGGGGTTATATGCACACAAAGGAGAAAGACCTGGTTTAGGCGTCTTATAATAATGGAGCTAAATAAGCAAGGAAACTGATTCCGACAAAATTTGGGTGAAACATAAACCTGATCCGAGGGCCTGGGAGACTTGCCCGATAAACTACCTTCGCCAACTTAATGTAATGACTGCAGTAGGCAGCCAAGCAGGCAGGCAGGCAAGGAGGTGGCGGAGGAGCAGGGCAATGGCATCAGAGCGGTGGTGCACTGTTGCCGGGTGTTTGGAGCAAAGTCCTTGATCTGAAACAAAAGGGCCCCCTATCACATACGGCGTGGTGAAAAAGAGCTCCAGTCTCCAAGGACCGTTTATCCAATCCACTTATCTCAACATCATTCAGGGACTGTGCCACACAGTTGCTTCTGTTGCAGACCGCTTTTTCGCAACCCTCGGTATCTCAAGGCTGGCAGAGGTTATGGTGATGGAAGAAGGCGACGAAGACGACGACGAAGACCTGAAAAAAGAACCGTTCGTCCCCAGGGCATGAACTTCATCATCGTCATCATAGATTTATTATAAGTTGGTTCCTCCAAGTCATTAACATGTTTGTCAAAAAATTTTGCCATCATGGAAATGCCTTCGCTCCCCCGTGACACTCGTGTCTCATTCAGTAATGAGGTTACCAATCAAAGAGAGAAACAATTTAAACTGCTTTCATCAACGAGACGCTCACCACGATGCAGAGCCAGCACTTGAGCACACTGCTTACCTATGTCATACATAAGCACCTACTGCTCTCTACATGCATGCATGCTGGGAGTGAGAAAGAGAGGAGTCAGCCCGAGTCTAAAGAGGATCAACTAACTTTCTCACAAGTCAAGAAAACTTGGTTCGTTGGTTCGTTGGTGGACCATTATTGTAAATGGAACGAGTTGAGCACGTGAAGAGCAACTGGATGGAGAAAGTACCACTTCCCACTCCTCCCATGACACCAAACCAAGGACTTCGTATAGTCGGTCGGTGGTGGTGGTGGGTCGGTGTGTCCGTGGGTATAGAGGAGAGGGGGCCATCTATAGAACATTCCGTTAGTATCAGGTGCTGCTGTGGGTGAATTGGTTAAGGAAAATTCAGGAAAATTGTGGGATGGTCATGACGGGTTTTCCTTCCCATCTAATACTTGCTTTGGCCTCATGCACATATCAATTTCAATCCCGATTCCCATTTCATTTAAAATGCTCCCATTACACAGTCAGCCCATTCTCGGTATTGAGATTGAAATTGCCAATCTGAGGAAGTGTACACTTTTCATGCAAAATGGAGTGGAGAATGAATCTACTACCTGTTGTGACCTTTTTATAAAATGAACTCCTCATTCATATAATTGAAACCCGGAGAAAGTTGAAAGTGCCAACCAACCACCTTTCTCCAGCGGGAGGATGACCTTGGAGACTCCACGCTTCCCCGAGTTAAAAGAGTTTAGTCATCTCAACAACCACCTTGAGTTCTACCGATAATTTTTCCATCACTCGGATGACACTGCGATACCAGAGTTTAACAGCCCCGAAAAAGAGTCATAAATACGTATTTACTACTTAACTTTTGTGTCAATTTCTATTCAATTTATAACGAGACATGTATGTCCATAAGTAAATAAGTTTTCTTGCTTGAATAAGTTCGAGTATAATTGTCGAGGGGTAAACGAACCGATAATGTTCACTTGTAATCCTGGCCCCGTGTAATTGCATACATTTCGTGAAGAGTAAAAGGGTAGCACCACATTTCCACCCGATCCGGAACTCTCATTAGCTCATTCTTGACTCCACCACCCGAAACTCTTCCTTCCACTCATGAGGCGATTGATAAATGAGCAAATTGACAAATTGAATGACCATTTAAACCCTTTGATTCCCATTCATCATTCGCATCATGAATTACTCATCCTAAATTTAGTTAATTTCATGCCAGTTTAATAGATCTTGAATGAGACTATTTGGAGCTAGAAACACTTTCATAAATAAAATTCACTTATTGGTGTACACAAAATTTGACGGAAGGAGATTGAGTTCACATGAGTGGTACCCCATAGTGGCATAATTTAGCTCCTACTTGTTACAGTGAATTAAATATTCACTTCAATTTACCATCTAAATATGTACATACTTTTTTTATATTTGTCTCAGCCCTTCTATGAAAGCGCAAGTGAAATAAGATTATGCTACAAACAAACCAAATAAATGTTCTTCCTGATGTGACTTTTTGGCTTCGATATTTCCATGACCTGACTAATTGCTGGTGCCTGGTTGGTGACGACCAAGTTGTTTGTCGAAGGAAGTAGGCAAGGCTAAGTTTTGGTAACGATCACAAATTGCTATCCTAGTAGACCTGATTTGAGCAGAGGAGCACGTTCTGGGCTTTTCCTCTGAAAAAGTAGCTTCCCATGAATTTTGTCATGTTGTAACTTGGAACGTGTCTCAAATATCATCTTTTGTCAAATGTATGTAATTGTGGGACATCCAGTTACTGGTAATAATAATAACAATTTATTCCCCTTAATACATATGTGCGTACAAACAAAAATGTCACCGAAACCAGATTGTACTTTCAAGGAAATTATCGATTTTTTTCTAACAATGGGTTATGATTTCTGCATATCTTGTGTATATGTATGTGTAACACATTTTTGTCGGAAACTAATTGTAAGTGGGACATTATTTATCCAGTCACCTAGTTCTCATAGTTCCATCATAGTTCATTAAGGAACTAAACCAAAATCAAGTTGTAGGAAAGAAAAACTATATTTTCAGATCAGCACTTTCTCAGGAACACGTTACTATTACAACCAAGTTGAATAGTTGCAATTACACCATTACGACTTAATGCGTCAGGACATGAACTTTTCTGTCAGGATGGAGGCCATTGTTCGATTATACGTAGGTACAGATACATTTCTAGTATATAGGTCGAACATGACACAACTTGCGTAATATTTCCTCATATGCACGCATTGATAACAATCTATTACACTGATAACCGTCATGGAAATCGTCAACAACTATAATCAAATTTAAAACTAGGAACTAAATGTTTAAAATCGCAAAGTGCTTACCACTTTATTTATTTAAAGATATATTTTTTCCAAATATTCCATTTATAATCATGCATTATATTATATTCATGTCAGTTTTGTATTCTCCTTGACATCTAGTATACGAGTATTTAAACCCGAAGATCTCTATGTATATATTGGTCAAATAACGGTAAAAACGAGTCTGGGATAGTATATCCAGCAGAATAATTAATTTAGAATACATGTTAAAACAATCTGGCGCGTTACAAATTTCAGGTTAAAATAATACACTAGAAATTAACAGGTGTATAATAATGAGCTGTCTTAAACCAATTTGTGTGTTGGATAAAAAGTGGGCTCTATATGCAAAATTGTCGTTCCCGCATATAAGGAACGTAAAGGCATCGTTAAAAACACAGAAAGGGACATTGTATTATACAATGTCCCTTTCTGCGTTTTTAACGATACAATTTGTATTTTAGTCTATTCCTTTAATCCATTAGTAAATAGAGAAATAACGAACGCAAAATTAAATGTCCCGTTCTACTCTGACATGTGACTGAACAAAACATTCTCATTCGATTACATTATCCCTTGACATTTTAGTACTTCGTCCCAATCAACGGGATTTTTAAAAACTTCCTGTTCCAACCACATCTCATAATTTTCTTTGAAGGTGCTCGTCAGCTGCACCGGCCTTCCAAGAACACTAGTTACACATTTATCAATTGGCTCAAAGTCCGGATGCATCTAAGAAAATAAATGAAGTGTTATTACTTTAAAACTACCAAAAAATTAACTACAAGGAAATTATTTGCTAAAAAGTTACCTTTGATGTATCCCCGTATCTTCGACTATTGAATCGGTCAACTGCAGCTCGTAGCGCACATTCTTCGGCTTGAAAATCCCATGGGCGCGCATCCAAGTCTGTATACATAAGAATTGTAATTGGAAGACTTGTTTAAAAATATGAATCTATATAAATTCAAAATCATTTCTATTTCCTAACTAACCATTCCCATAAGCCCAATCGTCCGTCAGTCTATGACGAACTTTTTGATAAATTGCAGACATAGTCTTCATGTTTGCTTTTCTCCATTGTCTTCCCAAGTATTTGGTTTGCATTTTAAGCAACTTTAGTATATACAATTGTAACAAGGGGTGTTTCACCCGAAGAGATCTCTTCAAAATGGGGGCTGACTTGAATACCACTAGCATCTATTAAATACAAAAATGTAATTGTGTTATAACAAAATATAAATTCAGTTCGGATATAATAATAAAATACCATTATTCTAGAATGTTTCCATTTGGTTAATTTGTTGAGAATTCTCAGGAGGTTAATACAGGCGAATAAATTTCTCCAGCAATATGGCTGAGGTTCGCCTAATTCTAAACTTTCCGGTGTTAATTCTGGAGGCTCCCCAAGTACACAAGAAGGAAAGTCAGTCAGCGCAATTCTACAAAGAAAAATATCATATTAAGTTTTATATAAAATCAAAATTTCACAATGTTCAATGTATGAAACAGTATATTTTAATGTGGCTTACGTATTCTTTGCAGTTATATAGGCAGTGATATTCTGATTAAAAAATTTTAATACTAAAGGTATGCAGTTTGCAAAAACCAGATGTTGGGAAATGAACTCAAACTGATAAATGTGATTAATTTTGGTGTGTTTCAGCAGCAGAACAATAATTGATGAAATTGCTTTCACAATTATTTCTTTGTGACGAGCTACATCAATTCCTAATTTCATAGACTGAACAACCGTCATGCTGCAATCAAACGAAAAAAATATAATTATGTTTATTAAACTATGTACTATGACTGTATTATGTTATTTTGGACTCACGGCATTTCTTCTGGCAAAACATCTGCCATAATGTTGATTGATTCTGATTTACTTTTTGACGTTGGCGCAGCCGCCAGGAGAATTTTTAAAAGGGCTATAACATATTGATTTAAACTGGGATGAATTGCAGCATACAAGGTTTCCACATCTGAAGTTGGAGATTCTTCTTTATCAGCTATTGACAAGGGACATTTCGCAAGTACTTCTTCACGAGATATTTGATGCTCACTTAGTGAGACGTAAATATGCTAAAGTTAAATTATATGAAAAAATTTAAGTAATCGCCATTAGCATTTAATATAAGAAATTTTAAATTTATATTGTGTAACCTGTTTCAACACTTTTACTCCTTCGTGAATTGGAGCAGGTAACCCAGCAAGGGTATCGCGATCGCCGTGAATAGGAAAACCTACAAATTTCAGCCTCGACGCTTCAAGAAATGCGTCCAAGTCTTTTTGTCGGACTTTAGGAGTCCATGGAAGCCCTAAATTATCAACACTTTGTTAAAACCTGATAATATGGAGAGCTTTTTTAAAATTTACTATGTCAGATATACTTTATCGTTTATAAAATGAGTACCTTTATTTTTAGCAGGGAGTGGGGTCATGGGTCGTGGCGATGGAGGTTGTGGTAACTGTCCAGATTCTTCCATTGCTCTCCGTTCCTCAATTTCCTTCATTTCATCCTCAATTTGATCATTCATCTCTAATTCCAGAGCAGCTGACTCATCCAAACTACTTTGTTTCATCAGACTCTATAATAAAGAGTCAAATTGTTAATAAGACACATTGCAGCATGAAGTACGCAAAACACAAAATAATTATTTGCTATGATGTAAAACTTGCCCTTCTCAACGGTCGCTGACTTCGCCTTTCATTTTGAGCATCAAGGAGGTCAGTTGCACTGGCGGGTGGAGAAGCTGCTCGCATTGTCTTCGAAACTTCTATTGTATCTTCTTTTAAAGGTGAGAGTTCAGCTAATTCTCTATATTTACCTGAAATATACATGAAAACACTTATTAACTAAATCAGAAGTAGTGATTTGATAAATCTTAGTCAAAACAGCTACCTTTAAGCTCTCGTAGTTCGGGTGTGCCTCCCAATGATAATAATATGACTTTCCATAAAAGCAGTAAAACCTTCTTTATGGGAAAATGTGGCGCCGACCCCCCACAAAACTTAATAACCATATTAAGTAGCTTGCTGGCAAGTAATTCATCACGGATAGGTTGACCTGCGAATTAATATCAACACTTGTAACAACTTACAACTTAGCCAATTAATTTCATTGACATTTAATCGTTACCTAGTTCTGTCTTAAAGCTTTTCCTGAGTTCTTCAAATTCGCCAGTATCATCCTCAGATTTTGACCGGACTGTCTCCACAATTGTATACAGTATACTCAAAATTACTCGAAGTTCTGCAGAATCTGCAAGACTAACAGCAGGTTTTCTTATCGCCATTGGCCCAAACCTATAACACACACATGTAAACACATTTAAATATATGTCATGGTTTTTGAATCGCTATTGATATGCATAAATAAATATAATATAACTCACTCAATTTCCAAGCTTAGAATTTCAACAACGGCATGAAAAACTCCACCCTTAATTAAAAGGGCGACATTATATCTCGTCCACTGCTGCTGTTCTTGGTCAGATTGGACTTCACTCCAACAGCCCTACGAGTCAAATAACAAAGTTGTACTTAACTTACAAATCTTTACACATTAAACAATCCCTCAAAGTCTTTTAAATACCTGTGCAATGTACAAAACAGCTCTCGCCCCCTCCGCGCGCACCGTCTTATTCGACATTTCCAGCCTGTTAATAAGTCTAAGGACGGCAGATTTCCTCAATTCTGGTGAAAGTCGTTGCCACTGCAGAGGAATGTTCCACCTCGTCATGACATTTTCGTAAGCTGCTAGATTTTTCTTAAATTCCGGAACTTCCGTGTAACTGTACAGCTCGGAAATCTCATTTGGATAAGTGTCCGAATCCTCGTAGATAAAATCAAGTTCGGAACTCTCATCACAACCCCCATCTGACTCTTGTCGTTGTCTTCTTATCAAATCTCTAATTTTAGAAATTCCGTTCCTTTCACCCTCCCCATCCATCTTCAAATGAATGCGATGGTGTTGTTGCACTTTCTCTCACTTGAATTTTATAATTAACTGATATACTTAGGATTAGTAGTTTTAACACGATAATTCAAAGCTCAGTTTGGAAGTGGAGTTAAATTTTGTTTGTTGCTCAAACTCGGCTGTTTTAATGTGTGGGATTTCCCTTTCATGATAACTTGGCGAGTGAGTTCAATAAAACCGAATGATCTCACTCTGCCATCGCTCGACTCTGTGAGCAGATGCAGGAGACCTCTGCCTCAAAATAACCAAATGTCCGCCTTCCACATATCAAAACTGCCGAATTCAATCCTTATTCAGCTCTCACAATTAAAAATTGTGCAAAAATTTATTAATTAAATTAAAAGTGCTGATTAAACAACCCGATGTACTCATGCTATGCTATGTTTAAAATAGGAATCAGCTGATCGATGTTAGGAGCAATATTACCACTGGTAATTTACCAGTTCATTAGTTCATTCTCCTTCCATGTGATTTACTCTTTATAAAAAACTAACTATTCCTCAAAAAGTGCAACTAAATAAATTTTTTTACAGCTCAATCAGGTGACTAAATAGTACCAGGTAATAAATACTAGCGAGGAAAAATGCAGAAAAGGGTGCGTTAGAAAACAGACTGAAAACTATTCGGGATTTTCACATTACGCGTTTCTGGCTTACGTTTTTTGTCAACGATTTTGTTAAGGGTTCGAGAAACCATTACCCTCAAATTAAACTGAATCTCACAATCCCCATTTTTGGCTTTACGAGCTTTCCATGTTGCAAAAATAGGTAAACTTGGTCGCAGTTCTATTACGTAATATATTCTCGTAATATTCTGCGTACTTTCTTTCTCAAGCAATTCGAGATATTATGCAATACAATAATTTTCGGTTTAGATGAGGCCCAGAGGTCCATCCATAACCGTTCTTAATAGTGAGGGGAACCTCATTTAAATAATTATTGATTCCGTCTTTATGAGATCCATTAATTTGCACAATTAAAACAATAAGCCCGATAAAACGACCGATGAGTAGAAATTTACTTAATGCCAATGACAAGGAAACATTAGTTTTCTACTAAAAGCCTAGTTAACTTCATCTTTATTAACATACTTTCTTCCGCTTTCTCCACTTTCTCTCAGGCTTGATATCCAGCATGAATGAAAACGAAAAGTTCTATATATATTTTGTATCTGGACTTTTATGCGACGGTGTAACCTGTAGTTGTACAGAAGAGAAGAAGGGCTTTCTTCACACAATGGGTCGTAAAGTTGGAGCTGATGGTGGCACCGAGTGAAAGCACCAGCCTACATTTAGCTAAAGCCTAGGATTACAGACTTAGAGAGTCGCTGCTGTTGCTGCCCTTTCGTCCTCCTCCCTCAACAAAACGTGGAATGTTATTCTTTGAACGTCGGTCATACCTTAGGCCCAAGTGTGATCAAGGGAGCTTCTCTCAATTTATTGGACCGATAGGACTTTCTGACGGCTGGCAGTGTACATGCACCAACTTTGTTTCTAAAAGATAAGAACGCGATGATGCAGTCACCAACGTCACTCTTTACAAACCGTGTGGGGCGTAACGTTATTTAAGGGAATTGAGGTCAATGGAGACAAAAACGTTTACAACAAGGGCTGATTCAGAAAATTATTTATTGCAAAAAGTGGAGAATTGCTTTTACAAGAGCGTAGTAATGTCACAGATGTTTGTTCCTGTGTATGGATCTATTGTTGGTTGTTAATCATTTACAAAAGAGAAACTGTGTCAGTACCACTTGGTTTGATCTCACTATACCGTTCCCAATTTGACTCCTGACTAAAATATTGCTTTCACAACGACATTACGTATGTATTAGCTAGCACGGGCACCGCCAGCTTTCATCACTTTGAGTGCAATATAAATAAGTGGTCCAAAACGCTTGTTACAAGTAAAAGCAACATAGGCTTAGAAAGCATGAAATCAAGGACAGTCACGTTAAAATAAATTAATGATGTTGGATATCCTCATTTTGTAAATATACACGTTTGACTTTTGTTCATGGACGTCTCATAAATTCAAACGCATCATACATCCCCGTGCCCGTGAGAAATCTGGTGATCTACATAAGAATCTTGGGTTTGTTGTTGGTGATGTCTTATAAATACGCAGCTTTCAGCAGGAAGACACGCCACGGGATGATGATGAAGCGTTGGAAGGAGCTCAACGGGTTCTGGTGGCCAGGATATGAGAAAATACACCGTCCTTGTCGTTTTGAGATAAGGAACCCGAGGCCGGAGGTGGGTGCTGGATAGTGAAAGTTTGAAGTTGGACAATTTCCGACCAATTTTCGCAGGCGTGATTTAATGCTGCTGCATCCAGTTTTGGCGAGTGAAAGCGGAAGTTGGGCATTCTCTGGAACGTCCATAGACATGCTTGGAGGCCAGTGCTTTTAATTTTGCAAATCATATTTCTCACCACTGCCTCACTTCCAAGAAATGAAGTGAATAATGTTTAAAATTAATTATCGAACTGTTCGTGCTCCTCGATGAACTGAAACGATTTTGAAACGTATGATAAATCTATGTCGTACAATTCGCTTGTTGAGTCGTCACATCGTCCGCTTTACTTACTTTGTAAGTTCAATCCACCGACCGCAGCAGTTATTTAAGTGTACTTTGCTGCTTTCTTGTCTCGATCGTCTTGGTCATGTCTTGCAAATGGAGTTGGCACACTTAAATTTGATTTACGATGAAAACTGAATCGGGATGAAATCTTGGTGGAAAGTGAGCAGAAACCCTGCTGCTTCTACGTCTCCTTACCGTCCGAACTCAGCAGTGGTGGTTCCTTGCTTTCTCCGCTTTCTTCGTCGGTTTCAGTGTATTGATAATTAAATGGTTGTGGTGAGAAGGTGAATGATGAACTAGATCTAAGATATATTACTCACATGTGTACGTACATGCATCTCTCCAGATAAACGAGGTACTTTTACATAAATTGCCCAACTATGACAGTTTGCTCTACATTTGGAAACTATGTATGATGGCGATTCAAATACATAACTGAAAATGTTCCAAACTTGATGACGTAAGAATTTTCACTCAATATCCTCAAAGTAGTTTGTGGAGTGGTCAGACAACTCATAAAAAGATGACCAGACCTGTGGCGGTTACTCATTATAGGCGAATTTCCGACAGGCATAGGTACATAAAAAGTTGGAGGAAAGTTGAAGACGATAAAATTGCATTTGGCGTGGAAAGTGGTTTCAGGTCTCTCATGGACATTAAAGTAATGTTCGCTGTCTGGAAGAAAATTATCTATACTTATGATATATTTATGTGTAGGTAAATATATGCGGAAGTAGAGCAAAGACCTGTGATTTGGTCATCTTGGTTTATCACTCGCTTCATAAGGAAGCATTTTCTCAGTTTTCCTTTTCACAAGACAAGCAGTAATGCTTGAGATATGAACCACCACTCACGTTACATAACTCTCTTAAACTCTAGTTGGTCTAGATTATTACGGATGTACGTATTTATATCCATATATCTGAACTTTGGAGAAATTCAGCAACAAAGTTGGGAGAAAGTTTTTCACTTGTTTCCAAAGTATCTCGTAAAAGGTGATCCTCACGGCTAGTCAAACCCTCCTCCGTTGGTGATATACAGCAGAACTGTCAGCCCAGTATAATATCACATGGCTATGGCTTCCAAGACCATCCAACAGACAATACCACGCTAGCAGAATGTCACAAATCTTATTTTCATTGTTTGCAATCTGGGCCATTCCGCATTCGGGATTACTTTCCCCAAAGTTTCTGAAATGGAAGTTTCTCATTATGTCATGACACGACGATGCGCTGATGTTTTTATATCTGTCAAAGTAAAAATCTAGGTTGAGCAAAAGCTGATAAAAGCATATTAAACCAGTCAATTCATGCTGACGCACTTACAGTGAGGAGAACTCTCTGGTAGACTGAATTTCACTTTCGATACAAGGATGAGATAGTCGGTGATTGCTTGCGAAAATCGCTCTTTAAGCTCCGCTTTTAGAGGAGAGAGATGTGTTGCATCAGAGGAGGAAATGGGTCAAAGTGCGATTAGTGCGAGCAAAGTTGGTTGTTCTTGTAATGTCCACTACGGAACGTATCATCGTGTAAGCACGACTGGTTTCATAAGGTCTGGTATAAAAATCCATTAGCGACTGAGTCATGGAGAGACGCGAATGCTACGATTGATCCAGTTGGAGCTTAGCGAAAATTCTATGTGCGATGACGCTTTGAAGAACCAGGAAACCGATTAAGTGGTGCACGGAATTGAAGTAAAGATATTTTGAACGGCTGAAATTCGATAAACTAGATAACACTTAGACAAACAGAGACTCCGCAACACTGTGAACTCAAGTAATTAGAGAACTAGTAGATATCTAAATGTGTCCAAAAGTAGTGGATACGACTTCGGGAATTCGAATTCAAAGAACTGATTTTTTAAGGGTGCAAGTTAAATAATATAATCAAAAACATACCTGCCAAATTTACTTTGATTGGTTCAGCCTCCTCCAAATTTTTGGCTCACCTACATATAAACACGTATAGGTAAACACATATGCCAAACATAAGTTTTCGTATGCATAATAACTTAGAGATTAAAGGTCGAGTAGTGCTGATAACCCAAGCTTTGACAAGTCGTGTATCGAAATAAAGCCATCCGACCTGAATTTCACGACGCTGAACTTGCCGAATCATCAGATGAAGAGATCCCTTGAATGTGATAAGATAATTCTGACGAGTTCTCAGAAAGATCAGCCTAATAGAATAAAAAATCCGTAGGTTCACAGAAATAGTCACGGAGGAGGAATCTTGTACAAAATACTCGAGGGCTGTGAAAATATTCGACTAATTTATAAAAGAAAGTCGTAATACAGTAGTCGTACATATATTGTGATGGCTTTGAATATTGAAAGGACTTCAAAGATAATCATGGACTAAAAGCTATTTTAAATCGAGAAGATCCTGCTATTCATCAGCTAACGCAAAACTCAAAAACTCTTCTGCTTTTGTTATTTAAAAAATCGCTTCTAAACAATGATATGAGTGTGGGAAGTATTATAAGAAGTGCGAAGCATTTAGCTTATTAAGCTACATTGTCCAGAGTCGACAAAAGCTTGAACCCCACAAAATCCTAAATTAAAGTTGGAAACAAGGACTTTATAATTAAAAATTGTTCGAAGTATCTACAAGAACAACCCACCGCGTAATTAACTTCTGAAATCGCTTCCAGAATCTCTAGTATTCTAGATTTTCATGTAAACAGCCAATCTCTCAATTTATTTAGGTTATATCTGCAATGAACCTAACCAAACTAAAATATTTTACCGTACCGAAAGTTTTTCGCAACGCACAAAAAAAACCCTACATTCAGAAAACATTGTCCTCCAAGTCTCTGCATAGTAATAGAAAAAAGGAGGAAAACGAGGAAACGAACGAAAGTGGATTTGTTCTCTTTGGTTCATTTCACTATCAAATTTAAATGGAAATTTGCATGTGATTTTCTTCCCGTCTCACAAACAGGAGACAGGATCAATTTCCAAAAATAAGAGCATTCTATTTTCTCCAGCCAAATAAGCCGATATAAAACATAGTGTGCCCGATTTCATCCCATTTCGTGCTATAAGTCTGTGAAAGTGATTTACGAAAAACTTGTGCTTCTCCCACCCACCCGAAAATCTCTTACCTCGCAAGTAATTTTCATGTGAAAATGATGCTCACTGACTCACTCGTCAGCATCTGTCATCCATATAAATTTGACTGAATTTAGAAATACGCTCTCCACATATGCATATATTTCTACATGTCGCAAAAGTGAATCTCACCTAAACCCGTTACCTAAATTTATGGCCAATATAAGGCTGGCTTTCTTGAAAATATATAGGTAGTAACGTGAATCAATGCAAATACCATTGCCTATTGAAAGACTACACGCGTGAGATATCGAGTTACGAGATCCATTGCTCTAAAACAATCCTCTCGTATAGATGTATATATGTGTAAATAAATATATTCCATTACAGTGCTGAAATATGTACAGACAACAAATCCCAGGTTGAAAGAGTGGAGAGAAAACGAGGTTAAACGAATGTCAAAGGAACCCCACCTGGGTTGCGGTCAAACTCTGAGGTTCAGTACACCTGCTGCTAGGAGTGGATACATTCATCGAGGTTATCCATTCCAAGGATTAGAGGACAACAGTAGTTTTTAACGATTTTAAAACAACGCAATCAATTCTGCTCACACACGTTTGTCTCATTATCGATTACTTCAGTCTCGCCCTCAATATTGCAAATGTTACGCAATGCAAGGATTAATTAATTAGTCTGCATCCATGAATGAGTTTCAAGCCTCAGACGTAATTCATAATTGCGTAACCCTTTAAAGTAGCTTTCTCCAAATTATAAAACGCACTTAATGCTTACGGAGGCGTCCCATCCGAAATTGTAAATTGTAAATTCATTTGAAGGAAAACCTTAGTGCATAAATATCTGGGTTTTTTAGTTTAAGTTTTGCTTTGGCGAATAATATTCACTCACTTTCTCCGTGACGATATTCAATAATAAACTCATTCACGAGGCGATAACGTTTACAATTTTTTATAATTATAAAAGAGTCGGTTCGTTGTTTTCAGCTATCTTTTGACTACTCCTCCAGAGAAAGATTAATCCCTGTTTAATGAAATGTTTAATAAAGATTAATGTTCATTTATTTCCAAACTTTTTAGCTAACACAGTTCCTCGTTAATTACACGCTTAGAAATTCCCAAATCAAATATCGGGGTAACTTCCTACATTGATTTATAATAAGTAAACTGACATCTATTTCTAGTCAACAGGCAAGTTTGAAATAAAGTTAACCCAAACGGATACCTGTTATAAAGTGGCCATCGAAAACTTACTTGTTTACTAGGTGCTTACTTAATAAATAGTAATTGAAATGATTTTGAACTTGATATCCAGCACACTCAAATTCACATACTAAAAATCTAGTATGCAAAGCTAGATATGACGTCGCGTAGTGCCCGAAATCGAGCATTAAAAAAGCTATCCACCACCACGAGTCTGTGAGCGGGTTACTCACTCATTCTCTCTGTTCTCCTTCCTCTCAGAGGAAGAATAATTTTGCTAAAATTACTTTTCAATTTGCAAGATTATAATTTAAGATTTTAATTGAGGAACCGTCTATTCAAAGCCACAGGCGATTCTAGCTTCGCATGATTGTAGCTTCACAGGTAAGAACTTTCATTTGGAGTAGAATTTTGTATTTTAAAGTCTGGCTATTACCCGACTGAGACTGAAATGTGTTCAATAACTCTTCAATTTATTAATTTAATAACATTTCGTGTTTTTAGGAGACTAAGCCGATCACCATGTCCCAAAACAATTCAGGCGATTTGAGGCGAATGTTGCAGCAACTTGGCTTGGACAACTTATTCTCCCAATTTGAAGGTAGTTTTGCCGTTTTCCAAGCCTGCCAATTATTAAATATTTGATTGTATGTGTTCTAGATAATGATATTGACGACGAGAGCTACCTGTTATTAACTGAAGAAAATCTAAAGGAAATCGTTCCAAGCATGGGTCCACGTTTGAAGATCTTGCGAGCTTTACAGGCAACTAAATCGCGAGAAGTTTATGTATGTTTTTTATGTAAAACAGGCTTTGTAAATTTTTCTAAATTACTTGTACATATTAAGACAACACATAGGCTTAGCCACAGTGACGTTCACAAGTGTGTACACTGTGACGGGTTATTTGAAAGACGATCATTTGTAAATCACTTTCGAAATATTTTTAAGCTTCACAAAAGAATATTTCTCTCTCAGGATAGCGATGATCAATTAGTGGATGAAATAGAGGCGGAGGTTCAAGATTTAGGGAATGATACAGGATCGGAAAATCAAGCCCTTGACTTAAAATATTTTGCGATGAAAGTTTTAGCTAGCATCTTACAATCAGGAAAAGTGCCAATGAGCACGTTTGATGACATTATTTCCTCTATAAAATTATTGGTAGATAGTATTTTACATAATATAAAAAATATAGTTCGCACCCAGCTTTTTGATCCCAGTATGGATGATTTAGTTAACTCAGTGAACGAGGAAATTGATTTGTTAAATTCAACTTTTGATGGACTAGATACGAAGTATAAGCTTGACAAATACTTGACTGAAAACGACTTGATAATAAACTCCAAACCAATTGTACTCGACTCTGACCTGGCTTTTCGTCGCACGCCGGAGAGACAATTTTATCGCCCTGTGACAATGCAGTACATTTCAATTACGGAGTCACTTCTCCAACTTTTACGAAAACCTGGTTTCTTTGAGATTCTTGAATTAAACAAGTCGTATAATGGAGATGTGTTTACTACGTTCCGCGATGGATTGCTTTTTAGCCAAATGAATTTCCCCAAAAACACAATATTTATAAATATTTACTTTGACGAGGCTGAGGTAGCAAATCCTTTAGGGTCGAAGGCTGGCAAGCATAAGCTGAGTAACTTCTACTATTCGATTCTTGATCTCCCAAAATTTATGTTGTCATCGTTAGATAATATTCTTCTGTTAGCATCAGTGAAAAGCTCTGACATGAAAATTTCTTCATCAAATTCAGTTGTGCGAGTAATAGTTGAGGAATTAATTTCGCTGTGGAATGTGGGAATTGATTTTGACCTTAACGGGGTAAAGACGAATGTGAAAGTTGCACTCGCTCAATTATCTGGGGATAATTTAGGCCTTCACTCCATTTTAGGGTTTACAGAAGGTTTCACTGCCAATTTTCCATGTCGACGTTGTAGATTACATAGGCAAGAATGCCAGAAATCTTTTATTTTAAATGACGCTAATTTACGTACGGTAGAAAACTACACTGCTGACCTTAGGTCTAATAACTTTTCAGCAACAGGAATTAATTTTGAATCAGTACTCAATCGGCTTCCATATCACCATGTTACGAAGATGGTAGTGTTCGATATCATGCATGATACATTTGAGGGAGTTGGTATGGATTTAGTTATTCTTTTACTTCAGCACTTAATAAGTCAAAAATTCATGACCTTAGACAAATTAAATCACAGGATTGAATCCTTCGATTATGGTAGACATTTCTGCAATACCAAGCCTTCAATTTTTAAACAAAGTTACCTTAAAGGTGATTCCAAATCTGGCCAGAATGCTTCCCAATCACTATGTTTGATAACGGTTTTACCTCTGCTAATTGGTGACTTGGTCCCAGTCGGGAATATTCAGTGGAATTTGTTTCTCACGTTTAGGGAAATTTTAGATATTCTAATGGCTCCAAGTATCTCTAAGGGTGGTTTGACATATGTAGACTCATTGATTTCGGAATTTTGTATGTCATATCAAGGAATATTTAAGAAATTGCTCAAGCCAAAGCATCACCATTTATTGCATTATGCAAGTTCAATTGAATTGATTGGACCACTTCATTATTTTTGGAGCATGGCATATGAAGCAAAACATAAATTCTTTAAAACAAATGCGCATATGACTTGTAATTTTAGAAATATTGCCAAATCAGTCTGTTATCGTCATCAACTGTCCCGAAGTTTTCGTCTGTTGTCTAAAAATGAGTTCTACCCTAATGATTTTCATTGTGATATTTACGACACAGTTCAAGTATCGTCTTTGGAATTCGAGAATTTAATTAGGGACAGATTTAACATGGAAATGGTAAAAATTTCTAACAAGGCAACTTTAAACGGGTTGGAGTATCGGATTGGTAGTTTTGTGTACTTGGGCTGCAGAGAAGAGGAACAGTTGTTTGGTCGAATTGAATTAATTATTTTGGAAGATGGAGACTGTAGTGTAATAATTTCCGAAATGAGTGGAGAGTATGATAACCATTTTTGTAGTTATGTTCTAAATGATAAAAAATCTGTCCGAATTATTGATATAAATGATTTTGCCTTCTTCCTGCCCTTGTATGCAATGCAGTCGTTCAAATTAAATGATTTATCTAGTTATATGATCCTTCCAATTAAATTAATTTAGTCATTAATTTCCTATGTACGATGTTTATTGGATTAATTTCTGAATGATTTTGGAATTTATGGGTGTATTTAAATTAAACAATAAAGTAAGTGCGAAAAACTAATTTTGTATTTAATTTTTCAGACGTTTCACGTCAATGTTCCTGAGACTGAAAATTTCTCATGTTCATTTCTACAAGACGAAACTCATTCTGAAGCTGGGATTTCAATTGATACCAATGACATTTTAGACGAGAAAGAAGCACGTGAAAGGGGGCTGTGCTTGTCGCCGTCAATACTAAAATGTAGTTCAAAAAGCTCCAACTCGCATTCAAATCAGGAGGAAATTAAAAATAAGGTTTGATAAGTTTGCCAATATTTGAGGTTGTAATACTGTCCCTTAAAGAATTATATTTCAGGAGTTGCCACCCGCTCCAGTCTTGGACTCACAAAATTGTCAAGAGCTTTTAGTGCCGTCAAATCTTGTACCAATTAAAACCCGTTTTCCAGTAAGGTCACAAATTGATAACCAGGTATTTGCTTCTCCGGGAGCAGCAGTAGCAAATTCGAACAGTGTAATTATTTCATCCATCAATATCAATTTAATTTATTATACTCAGTAGAATTCAAATTTCGTTTTATTTTAATTTGCATGTAGAATGTTTCAAGCCAGGCGGGGACCGCTCCAAATCTAAAACAAATTCCCCGTCAATCTTCGTCACGTAGGAATATCTATGGATTTGTGAGTGAGTCATTTATGCATGACTTGTGAAGTGCGCTCACATTTGATGTCCTTTTTCCATATTCTATGTAGGATATAAACGAGGTCCTTCAGAAATCTACTTCTTTACAAAAAATCGTCGCCACCAAGATTCCAGAGAATTTAATGATCATTAAAGCAGATAGGCAACTTATTGCAGCTGTTCTTATCGATGCTGTCATTTTGCACCATGGAACCCGGTTTGTGACAATATTCTTCATCGTTTTATATTTATTTACCATGTTTAGACATTTAGTGTTTCAATATTTATTTTGCAGACCTAGCAAGGAAGCTTTGGAGCAGTTGGCCAAGGATTTGGTGAATTATACCCGACGTTTGGGGATCGGAGAAAATTACAAAACGGATATGAGATGTGGTTTTTTAGCTCTCCATATTGTGGCGCTACTGGGTTTTTGGAGGAGAGATTAAAAAATCAAAGAAAGGAAATTAACTCCAAAAGGACAGTATTGGAGTACAAACTAGACGAAGCAGTTTTACAATCTTGGGATTCTGAAAATGAGAATGGTAATAATTTTACAACACTATCATACGTATCTACCGCATTCTCAGAGTTCTTTAATTCTAGATGACCAAGAGCCTGAGGAAGACATACTAACTTACATGCAGCACAATTTTGGAAATGAAATAAAAAATCACATGAAAGACACGGTGTTTTCGAGGCGAACGTACATTCGTCGACTCCATCAAACGGGGCAATTTCATTTAGAGTCTATTATGAACATTATGCCTCGTCTCTTTGACACTGAAGGAATGGTGGGTGGTCTATTTTTAACTTTCCTTTTGTCGTTTAAATAGTATCTGATATTCGACTTGCCTTATAGATTGTCCAGGACTTTAATGTTCGCCATCCAAAGCTGTCTCTTGTCTTGTATAACAAGTGGCCTCGAGTTTCAAAATTGCTGTTAGATTACGCCGATCAAAGCGACATTAACTATATGAAGAAGCTAGATGTCCTCAAAGGAGTTAGCGATTTGGATGATGGTGAGGAGCGATATTTTAGACAAAAATTTTGAAGTATGATAATATAGGGCTTTAAGATTTCTCATTATACTTAGATGACAAAATGACACTCGCCTACTGCCTTTTGCCATACGTTCTACCATCATGTGGAAGAAAAGCGACGCCAGCATCCGGAAATACTATGTCGACTGAGCAGCAAAGTCTTTCTGAATCGCCGCAGGCAAATATCTGTGGAACACGAAAAAGAAAAATCCCCGCAGCCTCTAAGTCTCCAAAGCACTTTAAATCAATTAAAGCTTCTGATTTAGACTGCCTCAAAAGTCTCATCATTTTTAAATCGGTAAGGATGTATCATACATATATCGACATCTTCACATAAATTCAATGGCCCAAATAAAATGGTTTTTATTTTTGTATTAGGTAAATACGCATGTGGCGGATGTCTTAGACGAAAATCGCAATAAAGCTCCATTCATACTCGCATTGGGAATTCCAGCGCTATTGAAATTTGATGCCTTTTATGTCATCATCGATAAAGTGGCAATCCCGTGCGGTTCAAGATTCCTAGTCGCCCTCGACACCTGTTTCAAAACTTTTACAGTGCTTGGATTACCCTTTCCTCTCGAGTCGTATGATCACTGGACATTCATTTCCCATGGAGTAGCCGGAAACGGAAGTCACTCACCAATTCCGCCGGTTGTTCAAGCTCTGATCGGACAAATCATGTGCCGTATTTAGGTTACATTAGTACAAAAATATTAAACATAAGTTGTGATCATTTGGTTGTTATTATTGAATCTATAGTCAATAAACATTTCAAGCATTTAAAAAGACCGGGTTTGCCTGCTAACTTTATTTTTAGTGACCATCAACAAAACATTCACTTTTTACGGGGTAAGATGTGCACTTAATATCGAGCTCAATATATGACCACTTTTTTTGAAGTGAGCGTAGTGAACCTAATACTAAGTGCATGAGCCTGAACTACTTCACTTTATTTCGAGTCAAAGTGGCTACCCTTTCACAAAATCTTACTGTTTATCTGATTTGGTATCGAGTCATTTTTTGGTTGATATAGGTTTATGTTTTACTCTGGATTAAGTATATTTTTCTAAGCGTGTACCGAAACTTTATACAATCTTGAAAAAATCAAGTTTGCTGAGCCGTTTCCGCAATACATCAAAAATCTCAAAGACGCACAACTGACAAATAGAAAGACATTCAGGGCATTCACTCCCATAAAAAAGTCTTACAGCTTAATAAATGATTCCAGACTGCATCCATGTTATCAAGTGTTTATTACCAAAAAAACTAAACTACACTTTAATTTGTCGTTCTATTTTCGTGAAATTGTGAAACATTCCCCGTATTATTTCACTATAAATACTGTTAAGAAACTGAATTACAATTTTGTCACGCTGCTAAACAATTTTATATAAATAAAAGAAAAATTTACCCAATGGAGAGCTCCATTCACATGTAGATGATAAAATAAAAGGGCAGAATATGTCCGCCTTTTCCTCGTATGTTTTATGTTCCTCGCATGTAATATGCAAAGTCAGTCTTTAAAGCACTGCATGTCCATGCTTCATTTCATTTCTTCTTCCACAAAGGGCAACGAACTTCCGAGAGAAAGTTGGAGAGTGCGATGTGCGTGCATTTCCTCCAATATCTCCCATGAGACTTCCGGAGATTTGGTGTTTCCAGCAACAGAGGATTCAGAGTCAAGTCGATGCAGTTTTTTAGCTCCTGCTGCTGCTACCCAACACTCGCCAAGAAGAATTTTTCCCTTTAATCATTCCATTACTCGGAAGGAATTACTTGTTACAAGGAGAGAAATATGATTATGTGGTGCAAAGGCGGTCATTACGCAACTTAAATTATGTAATGTTCAGCGTCGTGGTAGGTGATAAACATCAGCAGAGAATTTCTATTCTCGCCGCTTTTATAGCCCACTGAATAGTTTAGTTGAACGATGTATTTATGTAAGGCACAAGTTACATACATATTTTTTAAATTTTACCACCACTGCTTAAAATTGTCAAGAGTTTCCTTCACCGCGACACCATAATTCTCTTGATGACGATGATGAGGCCGTGTGTTGAAGGGGCACCAAATTGTTGTCGTTCATTGCAACCCGATATAAATGCAATGCCAGCGTCAAACACGAGTTGGAGGCAAACCTTAAATTCTAATTCGGACCATTTTCATGCAGACGCATGCAAAATGCAGGACCAAGTGTAACAAGCCAGGCATAGCAATGAGGTGGAAGCAAGCGTTTAATTTGAAAGAGAAGGAACAGCTCGGGTTCTTGGCCATGGCTGATAAGTGTCGGTTGGCTGCGTTGTTGGCCTGGTGATCGATATATGGAACGCGTGGCGTCGTACAGTTTGTTTCGGCTGCTGGAGAGAAACCATCAGCAACCCAACTTTTGCCAGCCAGCCAAACGCACTTTCACCCAAATGGAAAGAGGCGGACAGGAGTCACGGTGGTGAAAGCTTTCACTTTCTCTCCCTCTGCAAGGAAATTAAGATAAAATTTAGAAATTTTATAAATCTCTCCTCCCAACAAATTCACAAAATAAAAAAAAATTAGTTACGTTTTCATTCATTTTTTCACGGGATGATTGCACTCTCGGCAATTTCTCCAAACACGAAATTTAACCACAGAACGTGGCTGAGCAAAACCGTTTCAATTTGCCATTGTCACTCTCCCTACATCACGATCCTCTCCGATCCGGCCAAATATTGTCATTGATATTGATACACGCACTTTGGTCCGTCCTTCTCCTCCTCTTCCTCCACGCAGTTCATTCCACTCACTCGATCGGGTTGTAAGAGAAGCAGGATCTCAGAAAATGTGACTACTTTCCTTCCACCAAAAGAAGTGGATTAAGTACAGTTTGGTGGAAGTGAATTGAAAGCGTAGTCAACCTGATTCAGTGAATAGGCTGTCGGTTGGCTGGTTAGTTGACGGGAGTGGTGATTCTTATACAAGAACAAGAAGAATAAAGTACACACAGTTTTTCATTCGGAGGCGCTCTCCCTTTGTAATCAGTCATTGTGGGCAAGGTTATTGCTGGAGAGTTGGGAAAGGAGGTGGACAAAAAACTTAGTTTCAAGGATGAAAATGGCTTTCTTTTTGCCCCACTGAGCCCACATTTCTAAGTCGCCCACTGCTAAAATACGGCTAAGTCGTCCAGACTAGGATAAATGTTGAGTCATGCGGTATACAAAATGTAATTAAATGTTAGGAGACGAAGCAATCCGTCTGGAAACCAAAATTGGCATCAAGGTGCTTTTCGAGCTGTTTCAGAGAAAACAAATGACAAAACCCATGTGCACAGGGAATAAATTTGAACCGCGAGAGAGACAAAAACTTATCTGGAGATACGAGACTTCGTGTTGAATTTCCAAAAAAATAATCATTAATTCGACGCGTAAGGTTTCGAATGCACGTTCAACTGGGTACTGATAGTGAAAGATTATTTATTCGTTTCAGCCTTGGTATGAGGAAGTGAATGCAAAGTCATGGTGTAGGATCTGGATCTGTCATGACGAGAAGATCCTTATCATTAACAGCTTTGATTGAGATAAAGCGGATGGATTAGTCGAATCAACGTGCCCCGCTGAATCGTGCAACTTTATTGATAATGCTGCTGCTGCGTTCATTACCCAATGTTTCAGAACCTAATAATTATAAATACTCTAAATACACGTATTAACGTGTATAATGCATAAATATGACTGGAAGTTGGAATTGAGAATCGTATAAAACTTAAATGCATAAATGCAACGGTTAACAAAAAAGATGCACAGAGTTCCAAATAACAGACATGATTTAAACTCATTGTTTTCATATTTCGATCCAAAATCAAAATTGGTACACAAAATCAAACGCATAACGATATTACGAAATATCCGTATATAAATCATGTGAATAGCAGCAAATTGATCTTGGGCGACTCGAACCGGAAAATTACCCAGAATACGGGATAAAAGGAACGGGAAGATCGAGCACAAAAAGGTGAAATGTTTCAAAACATCTTTATTCAACAAGATCCTGCTGTCATTACTAACATACATTTATTCTCATCCGAAAGCGTCGGCTCCTTCCAGTTCGAAACTAAACTGCAATAAACCCATGTGCCAACACAGTTGTAAAGATTTAGGGCGTTTGAAGCAGAGTTGGAGGATCCCCCGTTATTTTCTCGATTTGGCTCCGGATGTAATCTAGTCTCCGCGTTGGATGATCATGTTTTTCTCCTGCATTTATTGAGGTGATTCTCCCCAAACTCTTCTACAGAGGAATCGAGATGAGGCTTCGACTGTGATGATGAAGATTGCAACTTGGCTCCCAAGGCTGTTATTGTCTCCTCTCCTGAGTGGATCACCTGACCTACCATTCTCCAATCCATCCAAATTAAGCGTTTATTTTCTCCTGGCTTTTACTTTTTATATGAGAGTTGATTTCCTCCATTTCGGAAAGAGATCTCTCCAAACTGCATGCATCAATTTACCATGAGACTTATGTACCACGAGTTTGGTCGGACTGGCGCGGAGAATAATTTATCTGTAGATTCTACAAAATAAATATTTAGCTTTATTTCCTCCGCTCTTTCACCCAAGAGGTAATTACAGTCGAGGATAACTGCACTTACTTACTTGAACCCGAACATTGGTTGCTTACACGGCGTGCTTGAAGAGGTAATTGTGCCCATCGACTCTCCAGTTGCACATTACAATACTCATTGAGGTCAGCAGCGAGGATGCCGCTGGAAGAAGATGCTAATGCTGGCAAGACATCATGGACGGTGAAGCACAAAAACATTCAATAAAGCGACTCCATTCCTACTCGGCCTAATTCCTTTCTCTCTTTTTTTTGAGAAATTGGGAGGTGATATTGTTCAGGTAGTTGTCAGGCAGGTGGTCGTCGTCTCGGCTCAACTTAATTTCCAGTGAGGATGAATTTCACTTGCCCAATTCTTGGGCTTTTTTCCATGTAAAGTTGCAGTCGTGACTTTTTCCTTCGTTTCGTGGGTATAAAACATACCTTGTGAAAGTTGTGAATGATGGACATTCTTTCACTCTTAAAGTGACAAAGGGTGGATGGTTTCCATCTTGGTTCATGTTTTATGCAACATTTAAAGACACCTGATCTCGTTGGTCTTTTACTTTAGCGAATGGAATGTCTATTGCCTGCTGAATGCGAGGGTGCGTTAATCATTATTAAATTATTTAAACATTTTGGGGCCACAAGCAGTATTTTGTTACTCTTTTCCTCCAAGGTCGTAAAAGCTGTAAAGTGTTTCTCCCTAAAGAGCATTGCTTTATTCTCCTTGGCGGATGGGAGTTGGCCGAAAAAGGATGCGAGACACGTTACAAGTCAGCGACAATTGAGAGATAATTCGAGAGGCTCGAGTGAGAAAACATTTTATGAATTTTATGACATCAATCTAACCTTTTGACAATAAAGCTAAAAAGACCTACGTGTATCCATGCCGTAGTTGTAGTGACGTATTTGCTACACCAACATTTCCTAGCAGCAGCAGAATCGATACCACTTTCTTTATCCGCTCAACCTTAAGGAGGCAACAACAACAAGCACTTCATTAACTTTTTGTACGTAAGTGTCTTCACTTCGTCACAAATCATATCGTCGTTGAAGAATGAAAAGGAGGATATCTTCTCTTACTGGACTTCTTTCACTCATTGTGAGTAAGCCAACCTGGTGGAACATTCATTAATGCACAGGACCATGAAGTTGTTGCAAAGATGCGCAGTGGCGGAAAA